GGTATAGTAGATAAACATACAGATAAGAAGTAATGTTGTGTGAAAGAATATTAGTACGGGAGGTGCAAAATCACCCAAAACTAAATAAAATAAAACCACTAAACGTACAAAAATAAAGATTTTGTGTTTCTTTTTAGTGACCTCCAATGGTAACAACCTTGTACACGAAGGAAAATGTCCAGACCAACCAAAGAAACAAAATCAAAACAAAATATGCCAGAATCCTGTCAATTTCTAGATGCAACTAGCAACATTCAGAAACTGTAATGGTGTCTAGTTGTCTACTGCATTTACACAATTTTTACACACATGGATGACATTCTATCCATGCAAATTATAAAAAAAAAATTACCTTCTACTTGTACGATATGTAAGAGATGTAAGGGAATGCCTCACTTGTAGAATAGTTCATACAATCCTAAAACTAATGACAGATTGGCCTTTCTAATTGAATAGAACAACTATTTTTTGTTACATCATGTCAATTGTCAGGACATAGTACTAGGAAGAACATATAAAAGTGTACTTGGAACAACAGATAAAAGTGTACCCTGAAGGGTGTTGGTCATCGCCCAGGCCTCTTTCAACAATAGCCACTGCACCAAGATCAGAGAGCCGTTTGTCAAGCTTCTTAGCCACAAACTGCAACCAGAAAACACATACTGCTATCATAAGAATATTTAGAACTAGTTATACTCTCGAGTGATAAAGTTTGAAATAAAGATGTAGGAAAAACTGTCAATGCAGAATCATCAGAAGCTTCTTGGAATTATTGGTGTACATGCATGACTAAGCCTTTAACAGCTACAGTGTGGCAACCTCAAATTTCAGAAGATTCTCAACAAATAATGCATACCATAATTAAAGGCATAGGGGTAAATGTTTTTGTACTAACAAAAGTACAATAAAATTTGAACTATAAAATTATGATACAGCCTCACCATATCATCATCAATACAACCTTCAAAGTAAAATATACACAAATATATACAGATATGAAACAAGTGGAAAAAATTCTTCAAATGCTAGGTTAAAAAAGTTACGTTATATTTTTGGTAGCTCGAATCTCCCAATCCAAACACAGCGTAATGAACTCCTTTAAGCCACTCCCTTGTCAAATTCTTTTGCAATAAAAACCTCCAAAATGGCTGCAAAAAAATTGGACCAAAAGATGCAAATTACAATTACTGAGGGTGTTTAATTCGGTAAAACCCAAACATCATAATTCTGGTTATCTCAGATGATAAGAAACCTTCATGGAGTCTGGGTTCTCTCCTTGACCTGTGGTTGCCACCACAAAAATCACAGCCTCCTTATTTGGCAAGTTGCTCTGAATTACAATGTCAATATGATGAGATAGATATTTTGAGAGAACAAATGAAAATAAATAAAAAATAAAGAAAGAAACCTTGCAAATGTAAAGTTTCATTAGTGCAAAAGGTCTTATTTACGAGCCGCTGAACTATATAAAATTGTGAATTAGTACGCTGTGATCCAATTTCAAAGGAAAGATATTAGGCTTAATTGCAAATAAAACCATGACCTTTTCGAAATTTGCAATTTAATGCACCACCCTTAAAATTGGCAAATTTATACACCACTTTTACAATTTTTTGCAATTGTATGCATCGGGCCAGAACTCGGGCTTCCCTTGCTGACATGGGCTGGTGATGTGGCGATTTTGCTGACATGGCTGGTGATGTGGCTGACATGTCAATATTTTGCTGACATAACATAAACATAAGCAAGGTTCGAACCTGTGACCTCTAGGTTACATTGTGGCAATGAAACCACCGCCCTATTCCAAGTTATGTGTTAGATTCAATAACAATTAATATATATGGACACTAAGTACTAATAAACACAATCAAAATTTTAAAGATAATGTATCTTATACTAATAAGATATAAACTTATAATAATTTAAATATAATAAAATAAATTATATAATATTAAATGAAAAATAAATTATAATAAAGTAAGATAGATTATTATAGTATAGTGCATTTAAATTAAATTAAATTAAAATAAATTATTATATTTATTATTTATTAAAATAAAATTAATTATATAAATTTGGAAATAAAAATAATATATTATTTATTATATTATCATATATTTTATTATATAAGATAATATAAGATAATATAATATAATATATTTTTTATAAAATAATATAAAATAAGATAATATATTATTTATTACATTATATTATCTTATATTTATTATATTATAAAAATAATATAATATATTATAATACATTATAATATTATTATTATAGTATAATAAATAATCATTATCGTATATTTATTATCTTATAAGATAATATAATATAAAATAGTAAAATAAAATTAAGTAAATATTTTATAATCTTATATTAAATAAAATGATAATAAAATAAATATTTTATTATCTTATATTTATTTTATTTTTCCATGTTTTATAATTTATTATCTTATATTTTATTATTTTTACTTAATTTTAACTTGTGTACTTTAATCTTTTTTATTTTTTAATTTAATTTTATCATTATTATTTTTTTATAAAATAATATAATGTAATAAATAATATATTATCTTATTTTATATTATTTTATAAAAAATATATTATATTATATTATATTATCTTATATTATCTTATATAATAAAATATATGATAATATAATAAATAATATATTATTTTTATTTCCAAATTTATATAATTAATTTTATTTTAATAAATAATAAATATAATAATTTATTTTAATTTAATTTAATTTAAATGCACTGTACTATAATAATCTATCTTACTTTATTATAATTTATTTTTCATTTAATATTATATAATTTATTTTATTATATTTAAATTATTATAAGTTTATATCTTATTAATATAAGATACATTATCTTTAAAATTTTAATTGTGTTTATTAGTACTTAGTGTCCATATATATTAATTGCTATTGAATCCAACACATAACTTGGAATGGTGTGGTGGTTTCATTGCCATAATGCAACCTAGAGGTCACAGGTTCGAACCTTGTCTTTGTTTATAATTTTTGCCGTCACGTCAGCAAAATATTGACATGTCAGCCACGTCACCAGCCATGTCAGCAAAATCGCCACACAGCAAGGAAACCCCGATTTTGGCCCGATGCATACAATTGCAAAAAATTGTAAAAGTGGTGTATAAATTTGCCAATTTTAAAGGTGGTGCATTAAATTGCAAATTTCGAAAAGGTCATGGTTTTATTTGCAATTAAGCCAAGATATTATCATTTCTTGGAGAAATAGTACAAATCTGTCATGTTCTTCTAATTTAAACATACGAACATGTAGTGGAAATCATGAGCAGGAGGAAACTAACAGGTTGAAATTCATCGATTGAGAGAACGGAGACTGAGGGGCATCCACGGCGCTCAGCTTCACGGCCAAGCCGTTCAGCAGCATCCATTGCATTTCCTGTTTGCGAAGCAAACAATATCAAGAGCTGCTCATGAAGCATCTCCTCCACTGTGTCCATCAAGAATTTCTGCAACTGTTACCATTGGTCTCAGTCTTGTACATAATGTGAGATCACATACAGATATAGATTACGTAAATGTATAAAAGGCAAAAAGGGATTCTAAATGAGTAATAGGAAAAAATAGGAGTCATTCAAAACATGCTCCCTGGAGCAGCACTGAGATTTCTGTAAACATATAAGACCATCTCCAACCGAAAAACTCATTCCCCAACTCATTTTGCAGTAACTGTCACATCAAACAGTAATTTAACTCCAATCAAAAAACTCATTCTCAAACCCATTCATCAACTTATACAAATTTTTAATACTACCCACATATTTTACAACTTTACAAATTAAACCACATAAGTATTTTAAATTTAATTAGCAGTTTATGTAATAAAATTAATTATAATGTTATATACATAAGAAAATTGAAGAAACAAGTATTCATTAAAAGTGTTAAAAATTACAATGCAGGAGCGAGATGAAAAATAAAATAAAATGAGATACAAATAAATATACTTGGTACTTTTTTAGTGTTAATATTTCATTTTAATGTCAAAATTCTAGTCATGATTATAATTACCCTACAAAATAATATTTAACTATTACATTGCATACAAATAAAATACATCAATACAATTAAATATATATATATATAATTAGCATCAAGAATTAATTATTTACATTCAGTTAAATTTTATATCCCTATTGTAGTCACGTAGAAATAAATTAGCCTCAATAATTAATTGTTTACATTAAGTTAAATTTTATATCCATAATATATTAAGAATAATTATTGCCATAAGTATGTGCAAACAAGAAAGGAAATAAATAAATTCAACTCACAAATATTCACTATGATGGGCAGATGGGATGATATTGCAATTTCTTAAAATATTTGCGTCCGTGAACAGGAACAACGCATATTTGCGTTTGTACAGACAGAAAACAGGAGAAAACGCAATTTGCGTTTGGCGTTGAGTATCGGTTGGAATAAAAATACTGCATTTTTTGAGTTTTGAGTATCGGTTGGAGAAGCTCTAAGGGAAATACGATTTGTAAATGGGAAATGGACATTTTTGAGACCATTAGTTAACACTTTACCACAAATACAACCACTCAAATAAATTCCAATAGACGCGTGGTGAGGAGAATTCGGGAGGCAGAGATCGGGGAGGCTATGAAGAGGATGAAGGGAGGTAAAGCAATGGGCCCTGATGGTATCCCCATTGAGGTGTGGAGATGCTTGGGCGCCAGAGCGTTAGTATGGCTAACTAAGCTTTTTAACCTCATTTTTCGGTCAAACAAGATGCCTGATGAATGGAGGAGAAGTACTTTAGTACCGATCTTCAAGAACAAGGGAGATATTCAAAGTTGTGGTAACTACCGTGGGATTAAGTTGATGAGCCATACGATGAAGCTCTGGGAGAGGGTTATTGAGCATCGCCTACGACGAGTGACGAGGGTGACCGAAAATCAATTTGGGTTTATGCCTGGAAGGTCGACCATGGAAGCGATTTTCCTAATACGACAGTTGACGGAGAGATATAGGGACCAAAAGAAGGACTTGCACATGGTCTTTATCGACCTTGAGAAGGCTTATGACAGAGTACCGAGGAATGTCATGTGGTGGGCCTTAGAAAAGCACAAAGTCCCATCTAAGTACATTACCCTCATCAAGGATATGTACAAGGATGCGATGACGTGTGTCCGAACATGTGGGGGCGATACCAGCGACTTTCCAATTAAAATAGGACTACATCAGGGGTCAGCATTGAGCCCTTATCTATTTGCTTTGGTGATGGACGAGGCCACAAGGGATATACAAGGTGATATCCCTTGGTGTACGCTCTTTGCTGATGATGTGGTGCTAGTTGACGAGAGCAGGGGTAAATAGGAAGTTAGAGTTGTGGAAGGACGCGTTAGAGTCGAAAGGCTTCAGACTTAGTAGGACGAAGACCGAGTACATGACGTGCGCTTTCAGCATGGCCTCACATGATGATGGTGACGTTAGCCTTGAAGGGCAAGTGGTGGCCAAGAAGGAGACTTTCCGGTATTTAGGATCGATGCTACAAAAGGACGGCGGCATTGATGCTGATGTTAGGCATAAAATTGCAGCCGGTTGGTTAAAATGGCGTCAGACGTCGGGCGTTCTCTGTGATAAGTGGGTGCCACAAAGGCTAAAAGGTAAGTTCTATAGGACAGCGATGCTATACGGTGCTGAATGTTGGCCTACAAAAAGGCAACATGTCCAACAACTAAGTGTAGCAGAGATGCGTATGTTGCGTTGGTTCTGCGGGCACACAAGAAGGGATAGAATCCGGAATGAGGATATTCGAGATAAGGTCAGGGTGGCTCCAATTGAGGAGAAATTGGTTCAACATCGGCTGAGGTGGTTCGGTCATGTCCAACGGAGGCCTCCTGATGCACCAGTGCGTAGGGGAGTTCTACAGTGGGTCGAGGATGTTAAGAGAGGTAGAGGTCGGCCTAAACTCACTTGGGAAGAGTCGATTAAGAGAGACCTTAAAGATTGGAATATCTCCAAGGATTTAGCGGTAGATAAGAGCGCTTGGAGGCTAGCTATCAACGTGCCAGAACCGTGACTTTTGCTCCTTTCTCTCTCTCTCTCTCTTTTTTTTGTGTTTCTCTTGGATTTCATCTCTAGCCTACCCCGACTTGCTCGGGACTAAAGGCTATGTTGTTGTTGTTGTAATTCCAGAAATGTAAAGCTGAAGGAGGAAAAGAACAATAATTTAATTAACCCCTTAGATAAAAAGCACTCGGTATTCTCTATCATCTCTTGCCTCCCACTATTCTCTCTCCTCGTCTTTTTATGAGATTTCTCCCTCTCACGCACATAACTATTTGATTTCAGAAAGTCGTGGTATAGTTGGTGTAACCATGCTTACTAACTAGCTTTTCATTTAAGCGAACCGGACCTTTTCGTCTCTACTCTTGCATACAGATGACCAATGCTTTTCGACTGTCGACCATTGTTAATTTGATAAACACAGACTTTTATATTCACATTCAAATGCTTATAATTAGCGATAAATACACAACATAACCATAAATAAATGCTATATAACTCTCAAATGATCACTAATTAAATTCCTGACAATTTTTTATTTTCCTGACAATTCACATATAAACAATAAGTATACCATGAAATGAATGATGAGTGATGACAATGTAAATCTAAATAATTATAAATATACACGTAATAAACAAATAAAAAAAACACGAGGCCTACAAAAACTATAGCAAATATAAACTCAAAGTCATCACAAAACAAATAGAGGCCCGAACGAATGAAATTTATTTGGAGAAGCATTGAATTAACTAGACGGAGCGAATCGTAAATCTACAATACGATCAAAAAGCCAATAGATCAGAGTAGAGAATCCGATTTGTGTCGGCAATCAAGGGCAATCTGGTTTATTTAAAATTTTGAGAAAGAGAGTGTGAAACTGAATGAGAGACAAAGAGAAGAGAGTTGTATCGAAAGAAAAGGAATAATAGAGAAAGGACGAGAGAAGAGAAAGAAGATATGGGAGTGTGAGTAAAGAAAAAAAGGAAAAGAGAGAAGTTGAAATTGAGATACAGCGTGTGAATGAACGTATATTGGGAATGAAAATTACTTTCTTCACAAGTTCCCCTATAAAATAGATATTTCGGTTATTCTTTCACATACAAAAAATCAAGGAGTAGTTTCATGCATACACCAAAAGTAAAAAACCATGCTATGATGGCCTAAAACCAGATGGACAGTGAACAGAGAAATATCCAGACAGCAATTCCAAAAGATACTGTTAATTTGTTAATTTGCAAGTAGATGAATGGTTCGTGCACGAGGGGTATTTACAGAAATAGCAGACATTCTTCCAACATGCCCGAACGGAAATGGACGCAAAAAGGCCTGGTCCGAGTCCTAGCGTGTCTAGGGCTTGGCTAGTGCTTAATGGACCCGAATGCTCGTCCGAACCCAATCGCTCCAAAACCCAACTAAATTTAAGATACTGAAATTCAATTTTTCCTACCTTTCAGCTTATTTCATAATTTGAAAAGATACTGAAGCTCATTTATTACCATTAAATGAGTAAAGAAACCAATTTTACCTACCATCTAATGATGAAGTTTGTTTAGCCACACCAATCACATCATGTATCACTTTAACATTTTAAACTCGAGAAATCTGAAGCAATTCGGTACTTAATTGAACCAAAAAACCCTAGTGCTTAATATTAAAATATTGGCATGCGTTGCTCAAGAGGATAAACTAATACCTGAAGGCGGAAGTCCTCAGTGAGGATAAACTAATACCTGAAGGCGGAAGTCCTCAGTCTCGATTCGTAGCGTCTCCGGCCGCCGGGCGGTAGTAGACAAACAATAGCCAAAACTTTCCTTCAAGGAATGAGATGAATATTCAATTGAAACTTTTAAATTACTTTTTAGGATTCTTTAAAGGGTTAATTGCATTAAAAACCCGAACCTTTTGTGTAATTGCAAATAAAACTCAACCTTTTCAACTTGACATAAAATTAAGTGTTGCAATTTTGGCTCGAAAGCAGATTCCGGCCAAGCGACGCTGACATGGCAGATCGAAAAAATGACGCGGAACCAGAATTTTGACATGGCAATGAACATTTTATACTCGATGACACGTCATGTTACACCTACAACTTCCACGTCACGTCCCTTACACGTAGGAAAGACACGTCAATATCTTCCGTTTGTTACTTTTAGTCCTTTTTTTCACCATTATGTATATGAAGTTCTTTCAAACAATTTATTGAACACCTTGAGTACAAAAAGTTGAACTTCAAGCTTGTGTGAAGACAAGAATGGTGGAGCCCAAATGTTTCTTTATCTAACTTCATTTCTTCACAAACAAACCCAAATAATTCAAGTGCTTCACAAAATAGCAAGAATTTCGATTACCGGAAGTGGGAAACTCGAATGTTCTTGAAGAATTGCGGTTGAGAGCTCGATGGGATGGATGGAAGAGGCGTGGCCGGAGAGGATTGATCGTTGTTGGTCGGAGACGGCGGACGCCGGCGAGAGTTGCCGGTCGGAGAAGATGGACGCCGACGAGGGCTTTTGGAGAGGAGGACCTAGGGTTCCCGAATTCACAACTCAACTTCTCAGTATGCTTTCTCGCGAAGAACCGGGAAGAAGAACTTTGGATTGTGAGGATGATTTAAATGTTGCAAGAATTTGGAGAGAAATTTGACGTTTGAGAGATAGCAAGACATAAACGACGGGAAGTGGCGCAAGGACGAGAGATTTCTGCCAAAAAAACGAAGGCCCCGTTATATAAAGAAACAGGCGAGTCAGTGACTTTCCTACGCGGCTACGCCTAAGAGACGGAGATGGAGATGGAGAGGGATTGCGGGGAGTGAAGAAGTGCAGTAGTTCTCGTTTTCTTCAGGCTTCTTTTATTTTTTTTTATTTTTTTTAATTTTTATAAATATCCAATTCCTAGAATAGCCTCAAAAAACCAGTTTGAATGAGGTGAAACCGGGCTTAAACCTGGTGGTATATAGAGCAATTTGACAAACTCGCACAGTTTCTATGGTGGTTTGCAAAAAAAAATATTTATATGATAAAGCGCCAAAATCGTGATAGTTCGGATGGCAAAAAGTTATTTACCCATGTATAATTTATTTTATAAGATACTTTTAGGTCTATTTATTATTTTAAATTCGTTGATAATTGATATACATCACTAGAAAGAAATGATAGGATATATTACATATAAAATGGTAACAAATGAAAAAATAATAAGTATTTTAAAATTGAAAAATTAATGGTAGAAAGCAATTAAATTTTTAATTAAAAGAATTTAAAACTAACATACTGAATTTTAATGCATAAGAGAAAATATTTTTTATGAACTTAAAAGTTCAAGTTAAAATCAATGTGCATATTAAGTATGTTTGATATTTCTCATTACCTAGCTCCAATTGATATAGGACATTAATTAATAATTTTATCACTTTTTTTACTTTTAGATTTAATGCGAGCTATAAGTTTTCTCATCATTCTTACCCCTTATTGGCTGATGTGTATTCAGCCGTTGGCTGCTGTATATTCGCACATTTGTGCATTTTGATTTATAAAATTATCTATCGTTTCGAAAAAAAAAAAGACAACGTCATCGACCCATCTTTTTTTATTTTTGACAAAACATGTACTTGTACACTTTTTAGAATATGTTATTTTAATTTAAAAGATGAAAAAAAAATGTAAATATGATTAAATCATCAGTAGGCCTAACATAAAACCTAAATCCATTTTCATACACCAACATGACATAATTTATCAGTTATCTGATTCCGAGTCTTACGTATCTCAAATTCTCCATTCTCAATTAGACATGGCCAAAGGGTTGCTCGGCCCGCCGACCCGGCACCGACCCGGCCCTATCAAACCCATTGACCACGGGTCCAAAACCGGCCCGAATTTCAGACGGGCCATGTAAGGACCATACATTTCATGACCCAGCCCAGGTCGATGACCCTTCTTTTCAATTTTTTTTTTATTTTTTTATACTTTTTTTAAAAAAGCACAGGCCCAGCCCGGACTTGACACGGCCCGGACACGGACCCGGCACGAGTATAGGTCCGTGCCGGTTCAGGGTCAGTATTTTCGAGTCCTGCGACCCGGCCAGACCCAGCCTAGATTTTGGCCATGTCTATTGTCAATGCATATTTTTCTATTCTTAGGTAGCACAATATTAAATGGATACGCAATTTACAAGAAATCATATAAAATTTCAAGTTGTCATATGAACCACATCTCAAATGCTCCCATGCGACTCTTTTTCAAGATTCTACCAAATCTAAACTCTTAGAGTTAAAAGGAGTAGCATTATAACATTTTATCAGTAACTTTACTCTTTATATATCCAGTGCACAAAGTTACTGAAAAAATCCGGGTAAAAAATTTAAGGGGGGCTTCCGGTTAGACCTCAGCTACTGGTAGTTCGAGTAGCTCTCTTATTCCTTCACAAACCTGCATGCAACGAAGGAATGTATTTGTCTGAGTGAGTACACGAAAAATTGCTTCAACTTTACATCTTTCACTTTTAAATATTTCAGATGGTCACATAACAAGATGTGGCTGAAGTAGAACTGCTGGAAAGAGTAGAGGAGCATAATTACCATTTTAATCTGAGCTTTAATTGACGCGATTAAACGTGTATAATCGTCAATTTGCCTGCAAATAAATAAAAGAGATTTACCTCACCACAAGGAAATTAAAAGCAAACCTTACAGGAGCACAAAGTTTCTAAGAAGAGTAGCTACTTGACAACATGAAGCATATAGGTCAAACGAAAGAAAGAAAGAAAGAAAGAAAGAACAAAGGTCTCAGCGTGTTTTCCGTTTGGAAGAAAAAGGGCCCACAACAATTTAAGCTCTGCATTTTGATACTTTAAGATTGTTCTAATCTATAGTTCGTGCAAATAACAATTAATCTGAGATTCGGACAATCAACGATATTTACATTGCTCGAGTTGGAACTTGATATTGCGGAAATAATAGAATAGTCATTTTGCCAACCAGCAATATATAAAACGGTTCTTCTTATAATTTGTAAAATAAAAGTACCTGGATAAACTTTCTTCCCTGGTTGCTATGAAGTTAAGAGCTTCAGTCCATGTAAATTCCACGTGAAATCCAAGTCCAACATCTACAAATATATGTCGGGTATCTGGACTGGAAAATTGCAAAAATAAAAATATAAAAAAAAACGTATCCAACAAGGGCTTTAAGGTACAATCATAATACTTCAGTAATCAGCAATTGATAATTGATAATCCAGATCGAAATGTCTAACAAACTGTAATCAATTTTCAGAAGACTAGTAGTAATATCATAAAATTTCCACTGTTAATGCACTAATACGAGTGTAGTAGCAAACATATTTTCCCTATCCCTCCACTATACTTATTGACACATCTAAGACTGAAAATATAATTTAAATAAATACTGGAGATTATAGTTTCAAAATCCTCTCATGAATAATTTGAAACAGAATGCTTTAAGGTTCTTGTCGGATGAAACCAAGAACAGCATTTTAGTCTATCTTAATAATGAATATGCACTTTTCTCATGCAAACAAGACAACAATCTCCAGAATGAGGCATTAGTAAACACCACAGCAAGATATTGAAGCATAGAGCATACACATCAGCTTGCACATAGACTTCAGAACCAATGTTGACCCGTGTCCTTAAACTAGTCACACTGTTCTTCTCCAGATTCTCGATATTTCTCCTTAGGTCAGAGCTACAAAGTATTGATTTAAGAAAACAATGAATAACGAAATTATACATGTTTGGTCACTATTCTAACAAAATCGATGAACCCTGATTTGAAACAATACTAAAACAAGTTGCTACTAGCTAAGGATACAATATCTTCTGCTGCTCAAAAACCTTGTCCCTGCAAAAGAATATCACAAGACATCAACATAATTCGATTTGGGACAAAATCATTGAATGCAAGTATTGCAATATACAACAATTGGAAGCTTAGTAGTGTACTGTACAACATTAAGATTCAAAACACAATCTGAGCTGAAAATAATCATGGGTTCTGTTCTATCAGAATACCGTTCGGCAATTGCGCGCACAAGATCGGGTTTCAATCTCTGGTCAACAAATTCCTCAAACTTTCTCACTTTCTCTTGCCGAGCACTGTCCATATCAGCCCTAGATAAGCCAAATGAAAATGGGGGTTTTCAAAAAACAGAACAGACAAATATCGAGCTTTGTAGGAATCATTTTAGCTTAATCATTCAAATTACAGCACCAAATTGAAAGGGAAAGTGCCGCAAACAAACTCAATCGAAAAAAAAAACCCTAAAAGAAAATACATCAGAAATAAGTTCAAATCACATTGCTAGGAATATACATGCCGTGGTGAAGTAATGATGTGGAAATCGCTATATATCTAGGAACAAGGGTAGATTAACAGAAAAACATCAAATAATAAATTATAGGGTAGATGAGTTATATTAGCACGTTCCGGTAAATATAACCTGAGCCGCCGGACAGCGGTGATGGCGGCGCCAGGTGGTTGCGGTTGGGGTTACGGAGGATGGATTTAGGCGTCAAGGTGTGAAGTCGCGTAGCTCGAACCGAATTGTTGAATTTCAGAAGATTTAAAGACAACCTGCTGAAATAGAGGAATCAAATTTCGCAAATGACGTTTATGAGGAAGCTTTCCAAATGCCAAACGGACAGTTTAAATACAACTATTCTTTCAGGTCGACCGACTGCGTATCTCAAACTCTTGATAATTTTACACAGAGAAAAATGAATTCAGCTTCAATTCAGATTACCTTTCAAATCTGCAAAGTGGAGTCGGCGGGGGCCGCTGGACGTCGAGGCGTCGATGCGTCGGAGGCGTTGTCTCGAAGACGGGGAGGCGCGATCGCGAAGCCTTTGAGCTGAGGCTTTGCGTCGGAGACTATGTCGGAGGAGAGGAGGACAGTGGCTGGTGTGGACGTGCGGTGGTGCCTGGTGGCGTGGGGTTGGCCGGTTAGGTGAATTTGAGAAGAGGAGACGGGAGAGCGATGCGAGACGAAACAGATGGGTAGAATGAGAGAAAGGAAACCCTAACAATAATTAATTATTTATAAAATATATATATTATATATAACTATATATATTAAACAGCTGGGTCGAACTGGGGCCGGGTCATTTTTCTAACGGGTCAGACCTGGCCCGGCCAGTTCTACAAACAGGGCAGGCCAGACTTGACCCAAAAGCTATGGGTCAGGCTGGGTCCATGCCGTTTTGCCATCCATGTTCATTGGGTAGCTTTTCAAATAAGCACATAATACTTTTATCATATAAGTTAGTTTTTCAGGTATCATGACTGAAATTTTGATCGGATCTTGATTCCGAGTGAATACTTTTAGGCCTACTGATGATTTAATCATATTTACATTTTTTTTTCATCTTTTAAATTAAAATAACATATTCTAAAAAGTGTACAAGTACATGTTCTGTCAAAAATAAAAAAAGATGGGTCGATGACGTTGTCTTTTTTTTTTTTTCCCCGAAACGATAGATTATATTATAAATCAAAATGCACAAATGTGCGAATATACAGCAGCCAACGGCTGAATACACAGCAACCAACAACGGAGAGATATAGGGACCAAAAGAAGGACTTGCACATGGTCTTTATCGACCTTGAGAAGGCTTATGACAGAGTACCGAGGAATGTCATGTGGTGGGCCTTAGAAAAGCACAAAGTCCCATCTAAGTACATTACCCTCATCAAGGATATGTACAAGGATGCGATGACGTGTGTCCAAACATGTGGGGGCGATACCAGCGACTTTCCAATTAAAATAGGACTACATCAGGGGTCAGCATTGAGCCCTTATCTATTTGCTTTGGTGATGGACGAGGCCACAAGGGATATACAAGGTGATATCCCTTGGTGTACGCTCTTTGCTGATGATGTGGTGCTAGTTGACGAGAGCAGGGGTAAATAGGAAGTTAGAGTTGTGGAAGGACGCGTTAGAGTCGAAAGGCTTCAGACTTAGTAGGACGAAGACCGAGTACATGACGTGCGCTTTCAGCATGGCCTCACATGATGATGGTGACGTTAGCCTTGACGGGCAAGTGGTGGCCAAGAAGGAGACTTTCCGGTATTTAGGATCGATGCTACAAAAGGATGGCGGCATTGATGCTGATGTTAGGCATAAAATTGCAGCCGGTTGGTTAAAATGGCGTCAGGCGTCGGGCGTTTTCTGTGATAAGAGGGTGCCACAAAAGTTAAAAGGTAAGTTCTATAGGACGGCGATGCTATACGGTGCTGAATGTTGGCCTACAAAAAGGCAACATGTCCAACAACTAAGTGTAGCAGAGATGCGTATGTTGCGTTGGTTCTGCGGGCACACAAGAAGGGATAGAATCCGGAATGAGGATATTCGAGATAAGGTCAGGGTGGCTCCAATTGAGGAGAAATTGGTTCAACATCGGCTGAGGTGGTTCGGTCATGTCCAACGGAGGCCTCCTGATGCACCAGTGCGTAGGGGAGTTCTACAGCGGGTCGAGGATGTTAAGAGAGGTAGAGGTCGGCCTAAACTCACTTGGGAAGAGTCGGTTAAGAGAGACCTTAAAGATTGGAATATCTCCAAGGATTTAGCGGTAGATAGGAGCGCTTGGAGGCTAGCTATCAACGTGCCAGAACCGTGACTTTTGCTCCTTTCTCTCTCTCTCTCTCTTTTTTTTTTCGAGTCTTTTTTGTGTTTCTCTTGGATTTCATCTCTAGCCTACCCCGACTTACTCGGGACTAAAGGCTATGTTGTTGTTGTTGTAATTCCAGAAATGTAAAGCTGAAGGAGGAAAAGAACAATAATTTAATTAACCACTTAGATAAAAGCACTCGGTATTCTCTATCATCTCTTGCCTCCCACTATTCTCTCTCCTCGTCTTTTTATGAGATTTCTCCCTCTCACGCACATAACTATTTGATTTCAGAAAGTCGCGGTATTGTTGGTGTAACCATGCTTACTAACTAGCTTTTCATTTAAGCGAACAGGACCTTTTCGTCTCTACTCTTGCATACAGATGACCAATGTTTTTCGCCTGTCGACCATTGTTAATTTGATAAACACAGACTTTTATATTCACATTCAAATGCTTATAATTAGCAATAAATACACAACATAACCATAAATAAATGCTATATAACTCTCAAATGATCACTAATTAAATTCCTGACAAATTTTTTTTTCCTGACAATTCACATATAAACAATAAGTATACCATGAAATGAATGATTAGTGATGACAATGTTAATCTAAATAATTATAAATATACACGTAATAAACAAATAAAAAAAACACGAGGCCTACAAAAACTATAGCAAATATAAACTCAAAGTCATCACAAAACAAATAGAGGCCCGAACGAATGAAATTTATTTGGAGAAGCATTGAATTAACTAGACGGAGCGAATCGTAAATCTACAATACGATCAAAAAGCCAATAGGTCAGAGTAGAGAATCCGATTTGTGTCGGCAATCAAGGGCAATCTGGTTTATTTAAAATTTTGAGAAAGAGAGTGTGAAACCGAATGAGAGACAAAGAGAAGAGAGTTGTATCGAAAGAAAAGGAATAATAGAGAAAGGACGAGAGAAGGGAAAGAAGATATGGGAGTGTGAGTAAAGAAAAAAAGGAAAAGAGAGAAGTTGAAATTGAGATACAGCGTGTGAATGAACGTATTTTGGGAATGAAAATTACTTTCTTCACAAGTTCCCCTATAAAATAGATATTTCGGTTATTCTTTCACATACAAAAAATCAAGGAGTAGTTTCATGCATACACCAAAAGTAAAAAACCATGCTATGATGGCCTAAAACCAGTGAACAGAGAAATATCCAGACAGCAATTCCAAAAGATACTTCCTTCTAGTAGGTGTTTTGTTCCCTACAAATCCCACAAATCATTCAATGCTACTCTCCTACTCCGATTTACATATGTTTCAGCACAAAGCCCCACCTATCCCTCAAATTAATATGTCCTACTCTCACCTAGATCATAAACAATAATTAACCTCAATAATATATTTGTTGAAAAAAAAAAGTGTGAATTTCAATAAAATGGCTTGAAAGAGAAGGCAAATACAAACTGAAAAAGTATGCATATTCATGGTATTAGTAAGTCTCCCAAGATACAACAACTTTTATTGAGCATATAGCAGTATTGAAAATGTACTAAATTTCAACAAACAATACTAGCGTTTGAAACACTCAAGACTCAAAGAAAAATTCTAAAGAATAAAACACAATGGAAGTATGAAGGTTGAAATTCCAATCAAGAATTCGATGGGGCCTTTAGAATACAATGCAAATGCTGTTAATTTGCAAGTAGATGAATGGTTCGTGCACGAGGGGTATTTACAGAAATAGCAGACATTCTTCCAACATGCCCGAACGGAAATGGACGCAAAAAGGCCTGGTCCGAGTCCTAGCGTGTCTAGGGCTTGGCTAGTGCTTAGTGGACCCGAATGCTCGTCCGAACCCAATCGCTCCAGAACCCAACTAAATTTAAGATACTGAAATTCAATTTCTCCTACCTTTCAGCTTATTTCATAATTTGAAAAGATACTGAAGCTCATTTATTACCATTAAATGAGTAAAGAAACCAATTTTACCTACCATCTAATGATGAAGTTTGTTTAGCCACACCAATCACATCATGTATCACTTTAACATTTTAAACTCGAGAAATCTGAAGCAATTCGGCTCTTAATTGAACCAAAAAACCCTAGTGCTTAATATTAAAATATTGGCATGCGTTGCTCAAGAGGATAAACTAATACCTGAAGGCGGAAGTCCTCAGCCTCGATTCGTAGCGTCTCCGGCCGCCGGGCGGTATTAGACAAACAATAGCCAAAACTTTCCTTCAAGGAATGAGATGAATATTCAATTGAAACTTTTAAATTACTTTTTAGGATTCTTTAAAGGGTTAATTGCATTAAAAACCCGAACTTTTTGTGTAATTGCAAATAAAACTCAACCTTTTCAACTTGACATAAAATTAAGTGTTGCAATTTTGGCTCGAAAGCAGATTCCGGCCAAGCGACGCTGACATGGCAGATCGAAAAAATGACGCGGAACCAGAATTTTGACATGGCAATGAACATTTTATACTCGATGACACGTCATGTTACACCTACAACTTCCACGTCACGTCCCTTACACGTAGGAAAGACACGTCAATATCTTCCATTTGTTACTTTTAGTCCTTTTTTTCACCATTATGTATATGAAGTTCTTTCAAACAATTTATCGAACACCTTGAGTACAAGAAGTTGAACTTCAAGCTTGTGTGAAGACAAGAATGGTGGAGCCCAAATGTTTCTTTATCTAACTTCATTTCTTCACAAACAAACCCAAATAATTCAAGTGCTTCACAAAATAGCAAGAATTTCGATTACCGGAAGTGGGAAACTCGAATGTTCTCGAAGAATTGCGGTTGAGAGCTCGATGGGATGGATGGAAGAGGCGTGGCCGGAGAGGATTGATCGTTGTTGGTCGGAGACGGCGGACGCCGGCGAGAGTTGCCGGTCGGAGAAGATGGACGCCGACGAGGGCTTTTGGAGAGGAGGACCTAGGGTTCCCGAATTCACAACTCAACTTCTCAATATGCTTTGTCGCGAAGAACCGGGAAGAAGAACTTTGGATTGTGAGGATGATTTAAATGTTGCAAGAATTTGGAGAGAAATTTGACGTTTGAGAGAGAGCAAGACATGAACGACGGGAAGTGGCGCAAGGATGATTTAAGAGCATTGTAATGCTTTTGGTTCAATCCCAATTTTTTGTATGTCACTTAAGAATTAGACTCAGTCTAAAAAAATGTATTCTCCAATGCAAATAAAAGTAGACTGGGTCCTACTGATGTGGCACCCAGAAAAAGAGATCCGGTCTCCCTTTAAATCTATTTTAGACCCTAGTAAAGACCTAGTCTCTTTGGGTTTAGATTATGTTCATTTTACATAATTTTATTCATGTCATCCAAGACTTGGGTTTATTTACATGTCACATGAGCAAGACTAGACCCAATGCATTGTAGATGCTCTAAGGGACGTGAATTGCCATGTCAAAATTTTGATTCCACGTCATTTTTCCGATATGTCATGTCAGCGTCGTTTGGCCGGAATCTGCTTTCGAGACAAAATTACAATATTTAATAAAGATTTGGTATATTTATGTCATATTGAAAATGTTGAGTTTTATTTACAATTACACAAAATATTAGGAGTTTTAATGCAATTAACCCTTCTTCAAACCAAGTGATTGGGAGGTGTTTGTTTATAAATTCTTTCATAGTCAATTTATATTCAAATTTAATTTAACTTTAATTCAATTTTAGTATTCACAATATTATTAATATAATTAAATATACTAAATATTCATTATTATAAATCACATTAACTTTAAATTATTATTTATCTACTTTTATAACTAACCATCATCTCACATTATTGTTTGTTTCCTGCGTTTAAATCAAATCAATTTTAATTATTTTACTTTAAATATTATTTTATATAAACTAAAAATTCCACTAACGACTAATCATACTATGATATTCCATTAAATTTATTATAAAAGACTCAATGTTATTATGTTGTTTAAAATAATAAATATAATAGAATATCATAATTATATATAATAAAATAATTTTATATTTCATAAAATTAAAAAATAACACATTTATGGGTAAATTAATATTCTAAATTATTAAATTATATGAATTAAAAATACTTTAAAAAATAAACGATAGGTTTGTTTAAAAAAATCGAATTAAATTTATGTATATGCAAATAATATTTGTTTTAAACATATATAATTTTAAAAATATAATAAAAAATATTATTTTGACAAATTTAGTGTAAAAATACGTACGTCATCTTAAATTAATTATTATTTTATTAATTATTCATTATTATTTATATTCATTGTACAAAATTTTATAATAAAAATATAATTATTTTAATTTTTATATTTCACATATATTAATATATTTAAGTTTTCGTGTCATATGGATATTATTTATTTATTTTATTACCCAAAACAGATGAGGCCCGAGGAAACGACTTTACGGTCGGTGGGTTTGCAGTGTTCCTTTTTTGCCTTTATATGAGGGTCATCTCTCCTTTTATCTTCACACATTAATCCCACAAAATTTTCTCTCGTCATCTTTTCTGCAATCAATTTTCCCAAAATATTGCCGCTGCGTATCTGATCTGGTATTTCTGCTGCTATCCTCGTTTTGTTTTTTTGCTTTTCTCATAAATTTCTGTAGTTTGTAACATCATTTGATCCATTGCAATGTGGGTTGTTCTGTATTTGTTGTTTGAAATTTTGTGGATGGTATTTATGTAATTTCTGTTTGCGGCTTGGGTTTTATTGATTCTTGTTTTTTCATCCTTTTGGTTAATTAGCTGTTTTCTTGTCTTGAAGTTTTGTAATTATTTAGATATTTTCTTGATTCTTGCTTTTAAGCGTTCTGGTTGTTGAGAAATTGTGAAAAGGTGGAATCTTCTCAATATGGGGTCTTTTGTTTGGAAATGGAACGCTAATTTTGGCTGCAAATGCATTTTTTTTTTTTTTGAAATTTTGACCTTAAATTACGATTGATACTGTAGACAAAGAACATTGTTCCTGAGGCCATAAGCAATGTTAACATATCTGTTTCCCTTTGTCTTTATTGTGGTATTTTCCCTATAGAAATTGGAATTCGTTGCAGACACAAATATTCCTTGTTAACAGAAAACACTTGTTTTTTGTGCGAAATTTGTTATGATGGATGTAGAGCATGCTGACTTTTTTTTCAGGATATATTATGGGGTAATTTTCATGTCTAGGTAGGTTTAGTTGATATGATCGCGTTTTATGATTTACTGACACAAACATGGGAAGTATGCCATGCAATTACCATACTAAGGATTTCAAATTGGGAAGATACGAGTAGCTACACCATTCAATTGCTAGTTCTGTGATTCAGCATGCTGCAATTGCTATATTTTTTTATTCTATTTTTCTTATATATATCGATGTATACAAAAGATTGATTTCTATTTAGTGTTGTTTTCAGGAGTGCATTGTTGACAGATAATTATCTTGAGATTATGTTCCTACCCCTTTCTTTTAGTATATTTGTAATCCCCTTTCTTTTAGTATATTTGTAATCTTTTGAAGAAATGTTGTGGGAAGTTATAATGCACAAGTACATTAAAGGGTTATTTTTAATGCTATTATGTCACGTGGAGGCCATGGTTGCCATGAGCCTCCATTGATATGAGAATTTGGTTGTAAATTTAATAATCTGTAGAGCACGAAACTCACATTTTTTTTATTCAATAAAAAAAACATTCCACAAAATTGTCAACTACCCAGAGCTATTCTTGGGGCATTGATATACCAAAAGCGTATAGGTCAATGATATTGCTTTATTCTGTTCGGTTTTGTCTAAAGCAAATAAAAGCTCATTTTTTATATTTACGATATACTGATACTCTCTGCAAAATCAAGAGTAAATTACTACCAAATTTTGGTGTTCAGTCAAAACCTGATTTTTGTGGTTAATTTTGGTTCCTCTTTTTGTGTGTTTCTGCAGTACACACAAAATGTCAGGTGCATTTGGAGGAACTGTACGAAATATTACAATTTATTGTAGAAAGTAGCCTTAGTAATCGTGATTTGTTCTGATTACATTTGTTTATGTTTGCGCTTAGTAAGTTTTTGTTTTCTGCAGAGTTGGTTTCGCTCATCAAATTCCGTAACAAATTTTCATGTCTGATTTTGAAGTCGAAATCCCTAGTGCCTTCGGTAAGTGTATATCATTTGCCCTTTGCTCTATTGCTCTATTCAACTATTTAGATCAATTATATCTGTGGTCTTGATATGGAGTAGAGTAATATTATTAATTCTTAGTGTTTTCATTTGCGTTATCAGATCCTTTTGCCGATGCAAAAGCTGAAGACTCGGGTGCAGGGTCTAAAGAGTATGTGCATATTCGCATACAACAAAGAAATGGTAGGAAAAGCCTGACTACTGTGCAGGGTTTGAAGAAGGAATTTAGCTATAATAAAATCCTCAAGGACCTGAAGAAAGAATTTTGCTGCAATGGCACTGTTGTTCAGGACCCTGAGCTAGGCCAGGTATCTATTAATCCAACTTTAGAACCTTATTTATAATATATAATTAATTTTTTTTTCCATGATTTGTCTGTTCCGTAATTCTTATTTCCATGTGCTGTAGGTTATTCAACTCCAAGGTGACCAGAGGAAGAATGTATCAACATTCCTTGTTCAAGTAGTTATTTTTTTTTTTTAATACGTTATGGGTATTTTTCTTGTGATGTTGCTCGAAGGGAACACCTTTCAGTTTNCATTGTGAAGAAAGAACACATCAAGATTCACGGTTTCTAAGGGGTGCTGATTATTGATCTTCTGTCGTTGAGAGTTTCGTGCTTTTATAAACTGTGTGGGCTACTTCTATCAGCAGCCTTTGTTTTGCATGTTTTAAGTGTAATCTAATATGGTACTTATTGGTCTGGATGTTGTACATTGGTATGCACTTGTCCGGTGCAGTAGGTTATGTCGTTTGCCGTTCAATACTTTCCGGTTATGAACATGTTACTCTTCTTTCATTCCAAATATAAGAAAAAAAAAATGCTTAAACTTAGTGTTATGTGGTGGTTGATTTCAGTTTTGGTTACTCTTGATTAGCTTTAGAAATGTGTGTTCAGATTCTTCTACAGAGTATCATAAGCGGTCCCTCTATAAAATTCTGTTTTATGAGGCTTCAAGGTATTGGGCACAGTATTTATTGCAGGGGCATATTATTCAACCAACAGTGGGGAATGTACATTAGAGCAGAAAAGATTGAAATGTTCCATTGCTTGTACTTGTATTGTTGTTTACATGAAGAATGCGTATTATTTCAAAATTACGAGTTTATTCTTTAAATTTTGTGAAAATTACAGTTAGAAAATGGTTATCTAGTGGGCACAGAGATGCTCTTTTAGTCTTTTTAACACTTTTTGCACGATGAGTATTCTATAAAGTGGTAATACCACAATATATCCATAAAGAAAAAAAGAAAAATGAAAATTGACAACTTTTTTCAAAATAATGAAATCTAGCCATTTTAGCTTGTGAAGGTGGTGCCATTATAAGTCCTAGTAATAGTACCAAACGACCAACCTATAGGGGAATTGGTTGTAATAATGAGTTATTCAATGGTAGATGTTAAAAGACATATGGAAATCTTCAAAAACCATATCGATGATTTATGCAAATTTGTACAACATCAATCTAGTGATTCTGAACAAGATTTAGAACCAATAGCGGCCAATATAATCAATGATATCAAGCAAGAAATTGCTAAACGTCTTTACTAAAATCTCGAAAAACATGAGATACTTACTTTTTATAAAATACTCATATCCTAATGATTTCGTAATGAAGAACCAGGGAGTTCAGGAAATCCTAATCCCTTGAAATGACCAAAAACGAATTTTTAAAAAAAACTTGAAAAAAAATCTAGAATCTAATTAATTTAGATCTAGATGATGAACAATCTGAAAAACTTGAGCATACGATTGATTCCTAAAAATGGATAAAGAAAAATGTAATCCGACCAACAATGAACCATCCACAAATGCGAATATTTATGTCTATAAACAAACAAGCTCTATGTCATTTGCCTCGACTCAGCTGCTCTGGCCAAAAACGTTGAGCAACCAAATGCCCGCTAACCCGATTGAACCCAAATCCACCAAGACTCCCAAACGAGACGCCATTCCCAACTGGAGGGTCCAAATCAAGAAAACCCAGCTGGTTTCGCAAGCATCCGCCATCCTCCTGCAACGACACTCCAGATTGTGGGGCCCACTTCTCAAACCCCTCAAGCTTTCCACCAATTTCACTCCCTCCCTCTTTCACGAGATCCTGAACAACATCCAGACCCATCCAAAAATCTGCTTCAGCTTCTTCGAATGGGCCCAGAAATCCCTCGGTTTCAGGCCCGACCCGGGAGCCCGGTGCCGAATAGTCCGGATACTGTTCGGCTCCGGGCTGTCCGAACTCGGAACCCCAATCTTGAATTCCGTCGTGCAAGATTACCCGTCGGCCAAGTTCGTGCCTTTATTGATCCAGTCGCACAAATCTTGCAGTAATCTCCAGGTTGTTTCCCCTGTTTTGAACTCTATCATTGACTTTTACTGCAGCAAACAAATGTATTTGCAGAGTTTGGAGGTTTATAATATGGGTAAACGGGTCGGGTTTGAGTTGAGCCTGGGTACTTGCAACGGGTTGTTGAGTTTGTTGAGCGAAAAGAACGAGTTAAAATTAGCCTGGTGTTTATATTCTTCAGTTATTCGAAATGGAGTTTTAGGGGATGGATTTACTTGGTCTGTGATTGCAAGGATTCTGTATAAAGATGGGAAATTTGAGAGAATTTCAAGGTTTTTGGATGCTGGCATGGATACTCCTGAGGTGTTCGATTTACTGATTGATGGTTATTGCAAAAGAGGGGATTTTGAAGCTGCCTTTGGCTATCTGAATCAATTGGGTTGTAAAGGACTCGAGCCGAGTTTTAGTACTTACAGCTCCATCCTAGATGGGGCATGTAAATGTCAAAATACAGAAGTGATTGAAATTGTAATGTCACTTATGGTTAAAAATGAGCATATCCCAGTGCTTCCAGCTGCTGATTATGATATGCTCATCCATAAGCTTTGTGATTTGGGAAGAACATTTGCAATGAACATGTTTTTCGAGAGGGCCTGTGATGAAAAACTTGAACTGCAAGATGCTACTTATGAGTCCATGCTTAAGGCATTATTGTCAGTGGAAGGTAGGATTCACGATGCAATCAAGCTATATAACATTGTGCGGGAAACAAATATTCAGTTGAGCGAAAATTGTTATAATGAGCTTGTGATAGCCCTTTGTAAAGAAAACCCATCTGAAAAAGTCAGGAGTTTGTTAGTCGATATAGTAAGGCGAGGTTTCACTTCTGCAGCCTATGAGCTATCGACATATGTCGGCAAACTGTGTGCAAAAGGTCGTTGGATTGAAACAGAAGAATTTTTCGATTTAGTTTTGGGTCAAGGGTGTTTGCTCGATTCTATCTCATGTGGCTTGCTTGTGAAACACTTTTGCTTTAGCAGACAAATCGATAGAGCAATTCTGGTTCAGGATAAGTTGAGGGAGTTCAAAGGTAATTTGGACACAACAACTTATAATATACTTCTTGCTGCATTGTTCAAAGAGAAGAGAATCGAAAAAATGATTGAAGTGTTTGATTACATGAGAGAATGCAAGAAATTGAACAGTGGTAGTTTCTCAATCATGATAGGAGGTCTTTGTCGTGAGAAGGAATTGAGAAAAGCCATGAAGTTACACGACGAGATGTTGGAGTTGGGTCTTAAGCCCGATCAGAGGACGTATAGGAAGCTAATTTCTGGTTTCAGATAAAAATCATGTGTGTGAAATGTGTTTTGCATCTTTTCTTAGTTTAAAGATCCCAAAGAAAGTACAGATTGGCATGGTTTGAATTGAAGATATTAGCTCAACACTATCATAAAGAAATAATGTGAACTACAACTTTCAAACTATGTCAAGCTAGGCAAATTCAAAAATGGGTGATATACTGTTAGGTCGGCTTAATAATTTTGACAACATACGTTTTTCCTTTTTTCTTTTTCTTTTTTTTCTTTATAAATATGTATAATATCATTACAATATTTCAACTTTAAAAAACAGTATAAATTAAATTATGGCATTTGGTAGTATAAATGTGTGCATCATAGAGTATGACACATCGATTTGTGCGCCTAAGTTGGGTAAATACCAAATCACTGTGTGAAGCAATATCAAATTATCAACTTATATTACAAATATAGTTCTGTTAAATAAATTATAAATCTATATATATAAAGAGGAGCAACAAAACATTTAATTTTATTAACATGCATTAAATTTTATTCTCCCTCCAAAATTTTCAGCATTCAATTTACAAAATAACTGGCTTGAATGCTATAAATTATGAGCATAAACCAATGTCATGAAAATAGCCGGGTGTATTAGCATAAAGAAAATGGTTGTAACGACTCTTCCATAGCAATTACTTGATCAAAATCAATTTTGAGAATTATTTTCTTAATTATATTTTTTTTTATATATTTTTATATTTTTAAAGTGTTCGTGTAAATGCTAAAAATAAATCTGAACAGTTCGGGTTTTTGGCTCATCAGTCATCACTTGCACTGAAATGCGAGATGCCATTTGATTAGCCCAAACAATAGAAATCTAATTCACAGAGCCACCGCAAATGGCGAACAATCGGAGCCTCTCGGCCGCCGCCCTCCTCCTCATCCTCCTACCCTCCCTCCTCTCTCCGCCCGTCTCCGCCGCCTCACCCATCGTCTCCGAGCTCTCCGACCTCCAATCCCGATCCCCCTCCGGCGTCATCCACCTCACCGACGCCCTCCTCCGCCGAATCCTCTCCT